TGGAATTTGAATATTGCGTAAAGAAAATATGAGATAGCTTGATATGAATTTGTAAAAATTTTCTCGTATTTATAGACAAAAAAATATATCCGTTTTAACTATATTTAATTTATAAATTTAAATTTTTGACAAGACATTTCATTTAAAAAAAATTTCATCTGCGTGCACGCAAGAGGTTGCGTGCACGTCATCTGCGTGCAGGCACTTAAAGTGCCTGCACGCAGGCAAAAGTGCAAAACTCCAAGCTGCCTGTGAGGCAGCTACCCGTAGCTGCCTGTGTGAGGCAGCTACAGTTGTAGTTGCCTTACACAGACAGCTTTAATTTAAATTTTTGAATTTTTTTTTTTATAAATAACACGGGCCGACCCGGCCCGGGCTCGGCTCGAAGCCCCCACATGGGGCTCGGCCCGAGCCTCGGCTCGGTGCGATCGAGCCCAAGCCGGGCCCGAGCCGAGCCTGAGCCGCCGAACTTTTTTGCCACCCCTAGTTGAAAATGAGTAGAAGAATGAAAAAAAGAACGTGGACCAAACATGGTCATTCAGACTTCTTCACATAGATCACTCATATTTCAAGTATAATACTAGGATTACAAGATTTATAGCCTCAAATGAGGTTTTCGAGTAGAGTAAAACAATAAAATGAAGAACCCTAACTAGAGGGTTGCACGAGCACATGATAGATCAAGCGTCCCAGCCCAAACAGAAACTTTAGGGGTCAAAACAAAAATATGTAAAACAATATAAATTCCATAGTCTCCCTTTCGAATTTGAAAGAGTGAGACTTAATTCAAAGAATGTCTGGAGAAGAAGAAGAAAACGCCGCCGAACTCAAAATCCCCGATGGTATTCACTTTTCTCATAATTTTATGTTTTCCATGCTTTAATCAAACGAAAAATAGCACGAGCATTTTTTTTTTTTTTGTAAAGTATTTGAGTTAATTTGACGATTTCACGGGCGTTAAACTGGGGTTTCTTAATTGTGTATTATTTAATTTAAGTCCATAGTTTATTTTGTCAAACATAATTTTCGTTAGAAACAATGTTTTGTTTGATCTTCTCAGTGTTCTAGTTTAAACCTAAATTGTACGAGGATGCTCAATTTTTGCAAATTGGGTCGTATAAAAGAATCGATAAGCTGAAGTTTTTATAAACCCACGCTATATTTCTTGTTAAATTTATTTGTTGTTCTTCTTCTCTGGTATCACTTTTGTAAGTGTAATTCTTATTTGCCCAATAAAAAGAATGATACTGCATTTTCATTTCGTTGTCGCTCACAAATCTAAGGCCCTTGCATCATATAGATGTAACCTGACATTTTTATGTAATTTATTTGTTCAGAGTTTTTGAAGGCGAAGTGTCTCATGAACTGTGAAGTTGCTCTAATTCTTGAACACAAGTATGAGCAGCTTCAACAGATGTCTGAGGACCCTATGAACCAAATATCTCAGTAAGTATATTTTGACACAATTTCAAATTTCTCCTTTCTTTTGTTGTTTAAGAGCTTGTTTGGGAATTGTTAAGGAGTGGTACATAAGTGGGTAGTACTTGTGGGTCCCATTTCATGTGTGGATAAAAAGTGGTTTGATTGATTATAAACCGTTTATAAACATTAGCCAAACATGGGCCAACTTTTGAGTGCATTTTTTCTAATCTTATGTATATCAAATTTGATCTCTGTGGAGATCGTGATATTGATGTAGGCATCTGTTCACATTTACTCACATTGAATCTGGATCACCCACTATGCTTCAATTATACAATTTGTATGTACTGCATTAAGTAATTTCTAAATTTTGTTGGTTCGGGAATGCTTAGGATTGAAATTGAGATGAGTTTGTCCCAGAAGAAGCACTTTGGCATACCTTGGCATATTCTTCACACGTGAATAGTTTGTTTTGATCTTTTTCTTGAGTTTTATTGTGTTGCTTTTTGGAGGCTATGTAACCTTCTGTAGGAAATCTTGATCGGTGAACAATAAAATTAAAAAATTTCAGAACAAAATGAAAATGCAGTTTCACAGTGCAAAAGCTTATTACGTTTCTCATGTTGATACTAAATTGGAAAAAAAAGGCATTGTGCCATGAGTTATTTTTTATCTTTCGATTTTCCAGGTTTTTAGATTACTATTGCTGGATTTATTTTGCCTTTTATCTTAATAGGCAATAAAGTGGAAGGTGGAGGTATTTAGTTCTTGTTGTTTGGTTTGAGAAGGTAAGACAGAGAATATTACACAAAAAGAGAGCATATTTTTAGGTTCAGAAAGAAAATTGAGTCTCGTCCTTCTGTTCTCTTTAGAGATAAATGATGAGTGATGACTTGTCTTGTCGGTTTAAGTGTCAAAAAATATGGTCTCTTGTTCACGTCTAACAAATTCTTGGTCTTGTATAAAATTCCAGTTCATATTTTTTCTGAAAGAACGTGACTGATTATATACGATTATGAACTCATTATGTCTAAATTACGGTTATCTTCCTTCTTCTAGGGTTTTCGAGAAGTCACTCCAATATGTGAAGCGCTTCAGCCGTTATAAGAACCCTGATGCTGTCAGACAAGTTCGAGAGTATCCATCTATGATGATTTTTTCCTTACGTTTTATATTTGCACGTGTCATTTATGATTAATCTGATGATTGTTTTTATGTTAAACCTTGTCTGAGTACGACACTTCATACTGCATTTTAGCATTATGGTTTTGGATTAAGGACCATTACTGTATTGATTTGTTTCCATTTTTCCTTGTTTTTATACTCCTCGTTTCATTCTTTGGCTGGTACACTACTTAACCTTCTACTTTGGGTGTCCCTCTATATGCATAGAGGTGTTCATATTCCACGAGTTGCTTTTGTTTCTTTTATTCTTCAGATAGTATGACACAAGACAGTTCTGCTTCACATATTGTTGCTTCTGAGCTCACTTATAGAATGATTTATAAACAAAGAACATTGATGAAAACATCAATATGCTGAAGTTAATTGCATTGCTTTATTTATTCAGTTTGATTTACACCTATGACATGGAGGTCTTGAGCTATCACAAATAACTTGCACTTTTCGTGTCACGAAGTTTGCATCTGGGTTGCAAGTGCTGTTATCTACTTTGAATTGCTTAAAAAAAAATTGGAATGCTTAAAGATGAAGCACATGCTTTCTTTCTTATCTACTGATTGTTTATGTACACATTGCAAGGAAACACTAGCTTTTCCTTGTATAATTTATAGTTTAGATTGCTATTTCTATGTCAGGTTTTAAATAATTCCGTTGCTTGATTTAAATTATGTTTTGCGCATTAAAGGCTGAAGCTCATGCTATCAAGGCCTTCTAGTATATCCAACAAGGGATACACATGATTGTGTTATTCCGTTCTCATTGCTTTAATTGTTGCTTTATTTCAACTAAACAATGTAAATCTTAACCCAAGGTCAGAATTCTCAGTCGATATCAGCTGGCTGAATTTGAGGTAATCATGTCACTTACCAAGCATAGATATCCTTCATACCTGATGAATATCCTAGTAATCTTATTTAATTTACTTAATATGCAGCTTTCTGTACTTGGGAACCTTTGCCCAGAAACAGTAGAGGAAGCTCTTGCCATGGTCCCGTCTATCAAGGTACCTCTACCTCTATTATACTTGATTTATGCATTCTGTGGAGAAGCCTGAGTCCAAATAATTACCTACTGTGGAATAATACTTGCTATTTGATTCTTCTTTCCATTGCTTGCAATGTTTGACTGTGGGGATGAGTGTATGTAGCTCTTATGTTGATAACCCCTGCAAATTTGGGTGTTTGCTGTGTTCTTATTTCGTTTTGTTTATTATTGCTCTAGGAGTTAGGAATTAAGGTTTAATCCATAGCATGCCTTGTATAAAGTGACATCAAGTTTGTTCTGTATGCCGATGTGGGGGTTGGTATTGTTCAACTCTTGCTTATGAAAACTCATTTGTTTTCCAGACTCGAGGACGAGCTCATGATGACGACGCAATCGAAAAAATGCTCAATGATCTCTCATTGATCAAGAAATTCGAATGAGTGTCATTTTCCTCTGTAATTTGGTCTGAAAAAGTACTTGGGGCTTGCATATACCTTTCTAATGACAGTTTTATGTTTAGTCTATTTCAATGGCTAATGTGCCATTGAAGATAAGATAATACTTGTCTCTTTCTTGACAATACTTCCCAAGGAAAATATTGAATTAAATTCGGAGATTTCCAAATAGGACAATCTTTTCATCATCTATAAAATGATTATCTATAAGATTTGGTTTATTATGTTTGAACTGTTTTGAATTTTTGATTGAGTTCAAAAAAAGAATCAAACTATTCTCTATTAGAAGCTAAATGAATAAAAATATAATACCACTTAAAACATTTAATACGTGCATGTCTGTTACGTTAGTATTATCAAAACTTAACACGTTTCGTTCAATAATGTCTGGTTTGAAATGAACTATTAATTGATGTCTATTAATTGAACAGGTAATAACGTCTAGCATTATAAACTGCAATGAGGGAATGCTATAAATGCATTATCGCTAATGGCAAAAAATTAATGTTTATATTTCTATTTGATACTAAAGGATGAACTGCGTCATTGGCGGTCCCGACCCGTCCTGGACTTTGGTGAGAGATAAATCACAAATTATGCCTCCAAAGGTACATGGTGGAAGATTATAATTTAGGTGACTATACTTTATAGATTCAATTTTAAATGAATTATATGACATTATATTTAAATGAATCATGCAGTTGTCAGTCAAAATTATACTGGACACTTGTGGTGCTGAATGACGTTACTCCTTCAAGTTCATGGTAGTATTTGACACGTACAATTTTAATTTTTAAAACAAATACTATCTAATCTAGGTTACTAAACATGCCATTAATTCCTCAAAAAAAGTACACGAGACAATAATAAAGGAAGAAATCCACTGACGGAAATTTTTGCATATTGTACAAATTCTCCACACACCAACACCAACACCAAAAAAAACAAACAGACCAAAATACTGAATCAAACGGATTCTTATTGCCTAAAAGAGAAATTACATCCAGGTTTTAATGCACGTCCAATATAAGACGGTCCTCAAGCTCTGTTCTGCAGCCATTCGTAGAACTTCATCTGCGCAGCCATTGTATCCAACCTATAAAGCTGGAACCAATGGTTCGCAGTTTCCAGTCCAAAGCAAGTACCAGTGACGGCTCCAAAACCAAAAGCAAGTGCTGCACCTGTCGAATGCACTGGAAGTTAGCAAGTATTATTCCACTCGATCCCAACTATTTCTGCTAAGTTACAACTTCTCAAACTATAGATTCATGCTAGTTTGAAATATCCCGCATCTCTTAGCCGGGACAAAATCATTAAGGTAAAAATCCAGGGATGAACGCTCAAGGTTAAATGAAGACCAGTCACAAGCTCAGAACGCAGCGGCTCATTAGTCTTTTTGTGGAGTTTTGGTCCTGTTCCCCGTTAGAAAAAGTGCGTGTAACAAGATGCTGCCTTGAAATATTTATCTTGCTAATACATGGCATTCATCAAAGTTGTATCTAAACTAGATGCATGTACCGAGCATTGCACAGTAAACAAGATTGTGTGTAAGAATTTCTTTCATTACAAAAATAAGGAGGAAAGCACGAAAAGATAAGAAAACACAGAGGACATGCAAGAGATGGAACATTGGCATTGCTGGTTACCCAACCACATCCTGCTAACTATTACATACAATATGGGCGTCAATCCTATCCAGCAAGCTAATTTGTAAGCATATTAATAACCCAATGGGAGAGGCCTAACTGTAATTATATCTCTAACAAGAAAAAATGAACGGTGAAAAATATTTTCGGAGAAGTTATCAATGGGTAACTCCATAATTATCTACAGGATCTCAAATCTACTTGAGCGGTGGCTGAGCCAGACAAAAGGACTAATGTCACAAAAACCTAAGGCACAGGTAACGAGAAGCAAATCAAGGGGTAAGAAGAGACCAGAATCAGAAAAACCATCACTAATTACCTAAAAGTCAGGCTGTAACAGTTTCCCAAAATTATTTTATACTCGAGCTGGCTACACCAACAGAGAGTTACATCAAAGTAGAGGGATTTAGCCATATTACATGGTCATAAGTAGGGTGGTCCTGGAATTTAACTACCTAAAATTGAAGTAAAGAAGAACATACACTTTTAAGTTTTCAACTTCAATAGCCATCAATCATTACGTCTTCTCCTTTTGGGTTCAACAAGGTTCAAAAAGGTAAGGAATTCGAACAAAACCAAGGACTCGAAGCTATTAAGCCAATGCACAATAGATATTCCACCAGCTGTTAGCCTATGAAAGTTGTATTTTTTAAACTACCCCATGTCTAAACTGTTAATGCACAAAAAGATACTCATTAAATTGCTATAATCTATATTTTGTAGCTAATTTATCATCCAATAAATAATTGATACAATTAAACAAAAATAGTTACAAGTTAGAACTATATATCCATTTTTTTTTTCCAAAAGAAATTAGCAGCGGAGGTCCCAAACCTTTTAAAACAGTGCAGATTACACCCAAACCTTTAGATCGTAGCAAATAGCCCTCAAACTTTTCAATACTGCGTGGCGGAAGGACCTCTAGACGGTTTCCATTTAATATCCGTTAGTTGACCAAGGAAAAGAGAGCTAATTTTGATCAATCCAATGAAGGGCACAAATGACTCTTTACCTTTTCAAAAGAAAGAGAAAAGAAATAAAAAGAAGATATTTCTTCACCCCAACCCACCGCCACCGCCCACTCCCCCACCCCTTTTTACTCTTTAATTTCTCATCCCCTATGGCCAACAATAAAGGAATTGCAGCCAAATTGGGAGTAGAATTCTTATCAAAGTGGTGTTGCTGCAGTACCTTCAGTTGAAGATGAAGCCCAATGAGAAGAAGATAGGATGAAGATGAAGATTAAGTGATACTAAAACCACCAATAAATCCCACCACATTTGACCATCCCTTTTATTCAAACCTACCCATTATTACCTCCATTTTTTTTTTTTTTTTTGTATTGAAGAAAGTTCAGATTTGCCTTCTCTATAAGACTCCACTCTACGAGAGTACAATCACCAAAACCAGTTGAAATTCTCTAGAAGAAATCACGTAAAAAATTTCTACTTCGACCACCAACATATCTGGATCTTGACACCTTTCTTGGACTCTCAATTTCTTCATAAGCCACAAATTCATCCTTCTTCTTGTCCCCTCCACATTACACTACTAGATGGAAGTTCAAATCTTTGTTATGGGTTTTAATTTTCTTAGTTGTACTTGAATGTTTTGACAAGTAAAGAAATGACCACAACCATCTTTTATGAGGGCTATAATCTTGAACATTTTTATCCAAGAAGTGGATACCTCTTCTTGGACTAGTGGTAGACTTGATTCTATCGAGTGCCTAAAAATGGCTGCACACTGAGAGGAAGTGGGTGGTGGCGGCTGTAGGGATGGAGTTGGGAGGTGGAGGTTGTGACGGTGGCAGTTGCAAGTGTTAGCAATGGCAGGGGTAGGGATGGGTCAGTAGGTGGGGGAAAAGACGGAAGAAATATTTTTTTATTTCTTCTCTCTTTCTCTTGTTTCTTTTATTTAATTATTTTCTGAACGAATGCAGTGACGCGACTTGCGTAGCGAGGAGATTTTCACAGTGAATTCAATCTATGAGTCCACAATGGAACGTTCTCAATCCATAGTTTTAGTTGGAAAAAATGTAGATTTACCACTTTTCCTTTTTAAAATTGATTAAATCAAGGTCAAAATCTTGACTTTTAATCAATTTGGATGTGACCGTCCTGAGGTCCTTCCACCACTAAGTTTTAAAAGGTTTGTGGGCTATCTACTACGATGTAAAGGTGTGGGGTGTAATTTTCACTATTTTGAAAGGTTTGGAACCTCCGCTACAAATTTCCCTTTTTCAATTCAATAATATACTCAATAAATTCAACAAAAATGTAAGGACAGACTACAGAATTCAATAAAATGGAAGATTGATTCTTGTTGGGGAAAGAATAAAAAAAATGGATAGCACACTAGGAAAGGATATTACAGAATCTAAACAGATGGAAGATTAAGGAGAAGCAAGGAACTTTCAATGTGTATGTGTGTGTGCGCGCACAAATAATCAGATGCATAATTGATGTATACAGCATGAGCTTAACAAACATCACCAAAGATTGGATCTGAGATTAAGAACTTTAATTTTACTCCACGCTCAAATAACACTTTTGAACATCTAAATTACCAAAACCATTTCTACAACAGCTGCCACCATATAATCTCATGATTCTCTACAGAAAAATGATACTGATAATAACGTTATTACATTTGCCTCTCAAAATCTTTATTCATTTCCCATCCCTCCAGAGAGCTTAATTAAGATGGTTTATGGATGTTTGCTATTGTCTTCATTTCACTAATTAGTAAAATATGTCCATGATAGTTAATTTTTCTAAGAAAGAACAAAATATCCGTGGATCAAGAAAAATGGTGTGCGTGATAATTTATGCCTCTATTCTCAGCTCCCAGAAAAATATTCAGAAACCCTTTTGTTATGATTTACTGCATGCATAGATGGATGTTTGCAAGTATATATGCTTACATATGGACATTCAAGTTAAAGTAAAGATCAACTCCATCGAGATTTCTAATAATACACACCAACAGAATCATAGACAAAAAGGGAAAAGATTTTCAGTGGGTTTAGGAGAGGAGAACCCAAATCAGTATATTCTTAATACAAAAAGGGATTGGTGTTTTCTTCCTTTTATCAATGATTCAACAACTAAAGTCATAATCATAGTCGTAACTGTTAAGCTCGTTGCACCAATGTTTTAATGACCTATCTTGGAATTAACTTGGCCAAGTCAAGGAGGCCAATGAAACAATGTAGACTTATTTTCGTGTTCTTTGGAAGTGTCAGATACACTATAATTTTGAGCACTTGTCAATAAGTATCTGCTGGAACCCAAACGGCATTATTAACTAGGTATTGTGTGAAATTATACAACAAACAAAAATCAAGGACAGCCACAGTATACCATGAGCACTTCGCGAGTACTTCCAACAGTAGCCAGCTGTTGTAACTGCTCCTATGACAGCACCTGCAACACCAAATTGAGCTGCTTCCCTGGCAGTCTTGAGCTGAAAGCGAAGGAAAGCAACAAGCAATAAAACTGCGGTTTCAGAAAATTATAGGAGAAAGAAAAGTTAAGACTGCCTAAAAATGCACCAAAGACTACGAAACATCGAATTCAACTGTCCAGTTTGAGCAGTGAGAAACATCAACAATTCATGATATGCAAGCGCGCATGTGACATTGTGTGAGTGAGTTTTCCTTTCCTTTTTTGTTTATTTTTTATTAATGCATATGCATTATTATTTTCCTTCTGGGGTGGTGAGTGGATCAGAGAGAATATCTGGAAAAAAAAAACCAGTAAACTCTTTAATAATGGGCAGTTGGGCACCAATGTATTGTCACCATTTGGAAGAACATTTTTTTGTCTATAACGAATTCTCCAAAAGGTTAAGAGAACCTGTGAGAAAACATTTATTTATCCAAAAAAATAAAAAATGGAAATTAACTTCTTCAAAATGCACACGTCCACTATACTTCCAATTACCCTAAAAATAGTACTGAAATCCGTTGCTCATAAAAAGCCCCACTAAATGTGTAGGCAATAGCCTAATAAATTCTAGCCCTTTCTCTCACTTTATGTGAGCTCTATTATAGTCAACTGGTTTTGGTTATTTACAAAATATACTGAGTCATAGTTTACTTCCATTGTAAGCGAGTAATGTAGTATTGCATCTTTCAAGCGACCCAGAATCCTTTTCACGTTATATGGGGCGGACAATTATAATGAGTCCTTTTTTCCTGAATAACTACCTTTGATAGCCATCAATATTTTTCAGTTTGTTGTCTGTTAAAAGTGGACTCTTTACTGACTAGAAAGAGGAAGGTGGTACTTGAAATAAGGGAATGGAAGCAACATACAAGTTCTATCGCAGTCACACTCATTGAAAACTAAATTCCTAGAACATTCATTCCTTAGGAAATCCATCTCCAAAATTATGGGATTATGTATCTCTGGTTAGCCCATTCCCAATCTCATAGGAAAGGCTACATTTTAACCAGCTAAAATACCCTCCCAAGATTCTAAGAAATGAAAATGTCTGCTCATACCCCATTTTCCGCCAAGTCGCAACCTCATACACCAGCTGTAAGCCTTCAACTTTCTCCAGCAGTTCCTGGGCTACCTCTGACCCACCAACACTCCCTACTACCATCAACCACCCCCTCCCACCAGCAGTCCACCATTCCCGTGACTCAACTGAAACCACCTTCATAGACACATTTCTACATCCCCCCTAATTCATTACATTCTCTCCTCCAACCACAGCCCCATGATCCCCACAACCCCATACAATGCCCTCTTCACTACCCCATGACTCCCAATTCCCTTGAGCATGTTTGGCCAAAAAAAAAAGTTGCTTTCTCATAAGCGGGGGTCCCATAAATTGTGTGGAAGCTGGGCTAACGAATTTTGGTCCACACAATATGTGGTGGAACCCTACTGATAAGAAAGCAGTTTTTTACCAAACATGCCCCTTATCTATCCTCCCAAACCACCCTGCATCCTCATTCAATTATTTCCATCATTCACAGCCCTGATGTAGACATTTTTAGATATGAGGGCATGATTCATTTGTTAACCATTTTGATTCTGCTGCAATGCTCAATTGATTTTACTAAACATAAGAATAAAATCAGGATAGAGAATCTGGATTTCAAAGCCACCCTCATTCCTGGACATACCGAGCAGATGTTATCCCACGTCAATTTCATTTCTTTCTCACCTTCACCCATTCCTAAGTCCACTCCAATGCTTCCCAAATGCATTTCCTCGTGCTGAGCACCACTAACTAAATAATCAATATTGTTTGAAGTTCTTGTCCTTAAATTTCAAACATTGAATGTAAGGTAAAAATTCCTTTTTCATGGTATACAATTTGGGTGTTCGCAGTTAGCTAGTATAATTATCATCCTATAGAAATTAAGCAAAATCAAGTAATCTAATCACACAGCACAACTCGCAATAGACGTGCACAATAAAATTGAAAAATGAAAACAAGGAAAAAATACAATTTTCATCTAATTAAAAACAAAGGACTACATACATATGCATATATAGGCACACAGAACTCGGGGCGGGCCAGGTGGACAAGCTAGATATTTTCAGAAGCCCAGTTCCATCAAATCTCGCTTACACGAGCTTCAATCTTATAGAAAACCAATCTACCAATATAATAAATCAAGAAACACAGAAATTACACTAAAATGCACAGATATTCAGGCACCCATTTGTACACATGTAATTGTAAACAGAAAAATCGGTGATAGATTGAGGTTCATACAGTGGGACCATGAACGGGGTCAGAGGCAATAAACTCTTCCACAACAGAGCTGTCCCAATGGGGCAATGGCTTCTCTGGGTTGAGCACTTTCGAGTAGTTTTCCAAAAACGAAAATCTCTCAGCCCAGAACTCCTTGTACCCTTCCCAGTGTCGCTTGAAGAAAGATTTTTTATCCTGGGTTTCACTCATTATTATCTACTAATTCTAAAATCAAAATTCTTGATCTGGGTATCTTTGATGATTTAGATTTGTATAGAACTTTCACAATAATTTCTTGATTTTGACTGTGGATTTAGGTATTGTTGAGAAGTGTGATTTTAATATTGATGATACCAGTTGGTGTCTTGATCTGCTGCTACGCGTCTATTTTATAGTACCGTGTACTGGACCAGTGGTCAGTAAAAATTTGTTGGAAACTTGGTTAACGATTAATCTATTTTTACAACCATCGACGACAAATTGGATGACAACGTGTGTTGGCAAAAAAGTAGTGGCTGCAAACACAAGTTGATGTGAAAATTATCCAATTAGTAAATGTCACGTGACATGTTGTCAACCAAATTATAACACATGACTGTGCATTTATATATCTTTCTTTTTTAATTAGTTTTTGACTTTTTGTTTGAAGGATAGGTAAATCCGGTTGTTAACAAATGAAAAACCTATTTCTTTATGCAAAGTATGTCGTTGATTACTAAAAATGATGTGACAAGTTTAGATCAATATAAGATTATTTTATATAGCAATTGTTGGAATTTGTGAAAATAGAGAGAAGATTCTCATTCGTAACGATTTTGAAACGTAATACAGAGGATTTTACTAAGTTCAACCTTTTATAGGAGTCATTGCGCCTATTTATAGATTTTATAGCACGCAATTCATGTGTCATTGACTACATTGTCGACTTCAAATTGTATGCTATCCTAGGTTGAAGAATTTTAATTGGAAAAAGACTCCTTGTACCGAGGGGGTGTGTACAACACCCCTTACCGTACAAGGAGGGGGTGTACAACCCCCCCTACCAGCCCCCTCACAGTACACCCCCCCGGTACGAATAGCATCTCTCTTTTAATTGGCAATAGAGTCTAGTCTCGCAAGTCATCGTGTTACCTAGGTTGAAGTTGTGACCTAGGTTATGATTACCGCAGGGACGGATGGGGCTACCCAAGCTACAATGTTTTTCACTATATGCAGAGAACATATTCCAATACCCAAAAATTGACACAAAAAAAACGTGAAAGTACATTTTTTTTCCTTAAATCTAATTGAGTCCAACATACTAAGCAAAACATGACCAGATAAATTAGATGGAACTCTTGACATTATATATACTACAATAGTTTTCTCTACATTCATGAGGAATCTATTCTGGTACATAGAAACACATTCATAAGAGAAGTGTGAAAATACGTCTTCCTCGTGGGTTGTTTGATAAAACTTTCGTTAAAAAATATTTAACAAAATTCAATAAAAACTAATACAGCGCAATTAAAAAATTGATGAAATTTATGAATATTTCTTGTAATATGTTGTTAAAATTGAAGTTTGACCCATTGCAAAGTTGATAAACTACTAACGAAATTGAACCTTGCTAGGCTGTCAGTGAGGGTTTGACACCCTTCCCTCACGATAGGGGGCGAGGCCACGCACCACATGTAAGAGGATGTCTAAAGACATGTCAAATTTTTTTTCTGACAACCTAGTTTAATTGAACAAAGTTCTAGGAAACAAGCACTTGGTATTATCTAATCTAATTTACCGAGCAAAACATGCACGAATACATTAAATGGAATTCTTGACATTAAACATACTACAATAGTATTTCACTACATTCATGAGGGACTCATTAAAGTACCCCAAAAAGTTCAAAAAAAGTGTGAGAGCTTTTTTCTTTAATCTTATCCAGTCTAACCACCGAACAAAACATGCGTGGATAAGTTACATGAAATTCTTGACATTACACATACTTGATACTACAAAAGGTTTTCATGACATTCATAAGGGACTCATTCAAGTACCCATATAAAGTTCGAGAAAAGTGTGGAAAACTAACTACAAAAAGCATATGGGCTTTACCCCAAACACAAGAAATTAAGAACGGAAAGTCTTGTAATCTAAAACACTTGGTCTAATTCATAAACTGCAATAAATGGCATCAAAACACTCCCAATCCAAAGCTTCCCATTCTTCTCCTCCACTTCACTTACCGCTTTAACAACTTTCCCTTGTCTGTCCTCCAAAATCTTTAAAAGCTTACCTTCTGGACTATACTTCACAACCACGGCATGAGGGCGCCCTCCAATTTGCATGAGATAATGGATCTTTGCAGTTATCGGAAGCTTTAGCAAGAATTTCCGGGCTTTCGGGTATAGAGCGGATAAATAAGCGTATAGAGATCGACGACAGTGGATAGCAACCCAAAATTCACCATTTTCATTTGTTCTGACGTTATCGGGAAATCCAGGCAACACGGCCATTATTTCAGAGGTCCCAACCTTTTCACCTTTCAACCAGTATTTTCGCAACCTACACAATTGGAGGAAGAGTTTTAGTACAGTTACTTCACCTTTAATACACAATATTGAACATGACATAACAACTAAGATTCTAGCTTTTCATGTAGTATTGTCCATTGCTATCCACTCTTTCATACCAAACATGTTATTAAATGCTATTATCTAGACGTAGCCCACTTTCATTTCTCTTTTAAACAATCTTCGCTGCAAAATTTACTACTATAATAACAGAAAATTTTGGTGTCATTTCCATTTCAGCTCGTGAAGGGGACTCAGTCGAATTCATACTTAGAACCTACTGTTAAAGGCATTGTCTGTGACTAGGAACAGGAAAGTCCAGGACAAGAGTAATTCAAGAACATGTTTCTTGCAGCTTGAGACATATGCATAAATACCAGGAAAAAGCAATGGAATATGCAGGCTTTCTTCTTTTTCCATCTGACTGGCAACTACCATGAAAAAATTTACGAAGTGTGCGGTTCTAAGAATTGCACGCATAACTTACGTATTAAAGATAGATTCATACCTGCCAATTGAACTCTCACAGAACACAATAAACGATCCGTCTTTACTTAGGGAGACACCATTTGGAAACTGGAGATTCCGAACAAGAACAGTAGTTTCTTCTGTCTTTGGATTGTACTTAAGCACTCTCCCACTATCTTCTCCAGAGAAAACTAACTGCATAAAGTTTCTGAAACAATAACACCATGTGAGAACTATGTATTCTGATTATGATCTTATAATTCTACGACGAAAGATCTGTATAAATAGATAGAGAAATGATCTCCGATGTACCAAGGGTGACATGGCACACTAATTTATTGGTGAATAAGTTCATGGTATGTGACAAGAATTAAATTATCTACTAATTAATTGATGTGCCATGTCATCGGTGCTTAAGCTAAACACCGTATTTAGGAGATCATTTCTCTCTCTATATATATAAAAAGAGATGATTTAATAACTGAACTAAATTTGTTATTCAACAATGAATTGATGTGTCATGTCACTGGTACTTAGCATAAGATTAGCACCGATGCTCATAGGATCATCTCTCTCTATATATACACCAACGGATGGATGTACCATGTTACCGATGATTAGCATAATATAAAAATCGGTGCTCATTAGATATATAGAGAGACACTGGAAAGGGAGGAATGATCTAAAGAGCTAGAGTGTTCATCTTATACTAAGCACGAGTGACATGATACATTAATCCGTTAGTGAATAATAAATTTAATTCAAAAATTACGACCCACCACAAATTTATTCATCAATAGATTCATGTATATTGACATCGATGTTTAGCGGTACTTAGTAGATCATTTCATTATATATACATGCATGAGCACCGCATAAAAAAATAAAGCTACAAGTACTTATAATTGGTTTTCTACCCGAAGATCTTATATTCCGATTTACTTTTCTACACTTTTTCCACGTAAAATTCTCAAGCAAGAATTGAAGTTATGACTTCTCCTCTCTTCCTTCTAATCGACCCAACAAAACTCACAAATACAAAGTTGAAATAAACAATACTTTGGCAGCAACAGCAAGACACTTTCAGCATGTTTGAATAAGGTTAGTAAATAAGCAAGTTTCAAAAAAAATGATTTTTTATTCGTTAAGTGTAGGAAATAAGTTGCGTAATGACAGTACACTAAATAGGAAAGAGCTACTTTTCAAGCCAAGTAACCTTTTTAACTTAAATTAAGGAAAAGGTAACTTATCCAAACGTGTGTGAAAACAAATAGTTAAAATAATTTCTTTTTTAAGCTTAGGCAAACACGTAATATCTTAAGTTACCTTCTTTTGAATTTGGTGCTGCTATCTGTAAAATAGACGTTCCCTTCATTATCAATGTCCAAGTCATTTGTAAATCCAAAAGGAATTCCTTCGGCCTTAGTTGCTAGGACCGTTGCCAAACCGCCTTCAGGGCCAACCTTCATCAACCCCAAATATGCATCTGCAATATACAAATCACCAGTTCTTTTGTCGAATCTTAGACCCAATGGCCTGCCACAGATATGCTCGTTCTTCAAATAGCCCATGGGTGACGGTTTTGGGTCACATAGGCCTGACCTGAAAATTAAAATTAAAGTAATCGTCCATCTTCAAGACAAGAAAACTATCAAAACCGTATAAACCACACTAAATGGTGGAACAAGAATCACGTTTGCATTCTCATAATTTTAGAGGTTTCCCACCTCCAAGACAATAAACTAAACCTTTTTTCCATTAAATTTGCTCTAGGCTACATAAATTGTTTCTCACAACTTCTTTCGATAAATCTTACATCAAGAGACATGATGAATTCAAATATTTCACAGCGCCGGCCATGCCAAATTGAAAATTTTGGAAGAGGTTTTGCTCGTTATCAGGTTACTTTAATAAATGTTACATGTTATAGATCTATGCAGGAGATGTTTCAACTGCAAACACAAAGATAAAAATAGTAAATCATGGTAATTGTCTAACACCACAACTCCCCTAAAAATACCCACGTCAATCCATTGCCAAAAATCTTCAATATACCATTTTCGAGTACTATAGTGGCGCTAAATAAAGTCCTCCTCGCTATATGTGTGTGTGTGTGACGTTCTCCCACCACCTATTGCAGTGTGTCATGTCACCTGAGTGCTTAGCATAAGCCAAAAACACCAATACTTAGAAGATGAATCTTGTATATATATGTCATACTTAAGCTGTAGAAATCCTTTTATGTGTGCACACAACAATGAAAACATTCAAAGTTTTTTTTGACAATTCAGCATTCTAACTGCATCAGTTTAACCTGTCTATAAATCAAGTTATCAAAAGGAAATCACAAAGAATTTAAAATGAACTTCCCATTGATCAAAAGACAGGGAAACCATAAAAAACATGTAAATGCAGATCTTTCACTAACTTACAGGAAATATCAAACCTTTTAAATGGTTACTATTATCTCCATTACACACCAAATACTATGCAATATGTTACAAGCACTTTAGCTAAAAGCCTATATCTCACCCATACACTTAAAACCGGATAGCTAGGGAAAACCGGCACATTTCTTATTCTTCTTAACATATGGGAAAACGCCAATACATTTTTTTGACACCTCTGCACATTACAAGTTGGCGATGTGTCTCTGTGTCAAAAATGTATTGGATGGACAACAAATTTCAACTCGGGTACTTAAAATGCTTATGAGCCCACAAGACAAGCCTTTCACAAGCAAAAACAATTTGTATTCGATGTTCCGCAACAAAACTATAATTTCAAGACTCATAAAGTGAAATCAAGAAACACTTCAAAAAGTTCCAAAACAGAGCAAAAAATGAACCCTACAGTCCAATTCTCACCGATTGGCCGAAGTGTAAGCAAAATCAATCCATTTCACACCATCCCAAAACATAATCCTCCCATCAGCAACCCCGGTGTACGGGCCACGGCCGGTCGGATCGAACGCCATGCTCTCAGGGCCTTGTACCTGGTTCAAGAACTTAATTTCAGCTTTCTGTAGCAAATTTTCAGGGTCTCTTTCAACTGGGATTTCAGACCAGGCCGGCATTTCAACCGTAAACGCCTCAAACTCCGGGAATTCCGATATTGCACTGTGCTTGTACGGGTCAACAGCACAGTAAATCGCTACCAAAAGGAACACGCCTGTGAATACTCCGGCGGGTTTCATTGCCAGAAAATAAACACTATTGGGTTAAAATTTCCACTATTGAACGATGGATTTAATGATTTTCCAGACCTGCCCTCTTTAAATTCCGCCCGAACTGCTACCTAACCACCTCATACCTACTTAGAAATCCTGCTATTAATTTTGTCTGGATCTTTCTATGCAGAGACAACTACCAGTCGCCTACTATTGAAACATTTGTGAGTGATATAGAGAGAGAAAGCAAAGAACTTGATCAACGGCGGAAGGGAGTGCCAGGCGGGAGTCCTTACAGTCCGTGAACGGATCTTCCAAGAAAGATTTTAATGCATGGACCATTCTATATGTGCATTTGATTACGTTCTCTGTTTAATTTTCATGTAAAGTATGTTAAAAGCCATGTTTGGTCCATATTATTTTTTTCATTCTTATTCTTTTACTCATTTTCAACCATATATTTTTTAATAAAATAATATTTTAGATTACATCAATAACTTTTCCTTCTTTTTCAACCACACATTCTCCACCACATCACTTCAAAAAAATGCATTCTCTTATTTTAATGTGTACCAAACGGGGCTCTAAAGCGTGTGTGTTTCGTACTATGTACGAGAGTAAATATAAACACGACTTAAAATATTTGTCATGAGATTTTTTTTCAAGCACATTGTGCACTCTTTGAATGTCATCGACTTGACTCCAAACGGATCAAATGATTTGTTTGCACTGATATCGTATCATTATCTCAAAACTCTTTAATTCTCATACTTATTTTTAACCACACATTTATACAATAAAATATTTTACACGTAATTTCAATTTTTTTTTTTTTACTTTCTAATCACACATTCTCCAAAAATCACTATTCAAAATTCTATTTTCTCAAAATAATGGCTATCAAACGGCAACTAAAATTTAACTCAACATGGTCTTGATTTCCTAGTCGATTACTATTCATATTTTAGCAAGATGTTTTAGTAAGAATTACTAAAGTGGCCAGATTAGCTGATTTCTTTCACAAAACCGCAAAGATGCTATATTATTTTTAAATCATTTCCGAAAAGTTCAAATATAATTGATTATTTGCAAACCATTTTTCTAACATTTTATTTAGATAATTAAAATAAGTTAATCTCTTATTGAAAGTATCTCTTTGTAATCGTTCACGAGAGACGGGAGAGGGAATTCTATTGTTTTTCTTATTCATACATAAATCCCTTAGGTTTGCATATATACACAAGTCTAATAGTATTTACAAGACAAGTCCCTATAGATAACATTCTATACATTAGGGTATTATATGTTTACTCTTGTAATTCTCCCCCTCAAGTTGGAGTATAGATATTTATCATGCACAGCTTGTTACAGAGATAATCAACTCGAACCCTGTTTAGAGCCTTTGTGAATATATCTCCCAATTGTTCTCCTATCTTCACATACCATGTAGAAACCAGTCATTGCTGAATTTTCTCTCGAATGAAATGACAATCAATCTCGATGTGTTTCGTTCGTTCATGAAAGAC